AAAAAGTAAATCATCACTGCTCACTAGGAAGCAGGGCAATACAGTTATAAGTATCTTATTACAGCTTGATAGCAAATTTGTATGTTAAAATCTACTCCGGATAGTACTACATTCTTTTGACCACTCTTCATATAGGTTTCTTTCAGGAACATTATTAATTGTAAACACAGCTCAGGATCAAGCAAAGAGGCAGAAATCAATAGCGAATCAGACAGGTGCAAAGAACAAAATATCAACATAGTTTACTACAAACCAGTTACATAAAAATTCCACACTTAATCTCCTCATAAATATGGAATACTTATAACCAAACAAGTACGAAATTTAAAATTCTGTTATGAATGGATACCTAAAAAACCTCAGAGTCTTAATATATGCAGTTTTAAATCACTGTATTCATTTTGAAATTCTGCCTGGTGCAATACATCAAAGTAATTTAAAAAACAAAATAAAGTTTGTTGAGTAAGAATAGGCTTGCAGCATAATTCAAGGCTCAAGCGTGGGCCCTGATGAACAGCTGTAGGGAAGAAAAAGTTCTCAAAGGCAATGACCACCACAAATACATTTTTCACTATTGTAACACACCATAGGAAAAGTAGCAGCCTCTTAAATAACTGGATTCTACATTATACAATAATTAAACACCCTTCACATACGAAAATGTCCTCTATTTTTAAATCTACCTAATAATCACTTTTCCCTATTCAACATCTTTCCCATGATTATATGTATAAATGCTAAGGAAAATGCCTTAGCTACAATTCAGTTGGTTATGAGTAGATTTTAATATCTAATTAAGATGCGTCATTATTTCAAAGAGACACCACTAGAGATTAACTCAATGATATAGTACATGGCAATGACTCAATTGGCAGCAGTATTTTCTTTGGGTCTAGAACAAGGTAATATCCTATGCAAGACTTAAATATCCTTGATCCACTCTGTCATCTCAAAGAATGTCTTTTATTAATGCAACAGAGGTGCCTGCCAGGGTTTTCTTATCACCAGAATCAATGCGGCTAAAGGTGCCATATTTCAGATCTGACTTAACACTCAGGTTCTATTTTTGATCATTGTGGAGTCCTTTTTACAAGAAAGAAGGTAATAGTTCTGCAGACTTGGCCACATAACTTATTACTATTTCTATCAAAGAATTTCCTTCTTTCCTGTCATGCCATATTGCTGAGCTCAGTTCGGGGGTACTCACATTTCTTTACTCACTCTGCATCAGCAGTGGCCATATAAACAGGACTTGATCCTGAAGGTCCTACTCATAGATGTAAATGTATGTAAGTGTCTGATGAGCCTGGTACTGTCTAATAAGTTTGCAAAACACACAGATATTATAGAACTGTAACATATTATTATAAAACATTTACATGCTCAAAGACTGCAAAACAGTAAGATTTCCTTACTATCACATATTTCCCTCCCACACTTGCAAGCAAAGCAAATTAACATATCACACTTCATACTTTTAATCTAACATCAGCTCTTTAATACAGTTTTATAAAACACAATAAAATCAAGTAGTCAGTCTTAGCAGTAAGTTAGAATAAGTGCAAAATAAGTCCCTTACTAAAACCATATGACATATGGATTGACTTTTCAAATAATTACAGGCTTAATATGTTTGTCATCTACCAGTCAAAATCAGCTGACATGACAGGCTACAAACCTGGAACTTGATCTTAATCTTGCACTGGTGAAATAAAAGGGAAATTGCTTTAATTTTTGAGTTGAGAATGTCAAAACCAAGGCTCCGAATGGGCAAGGCCTTGGAGATACTACTGTATTCAGTATGTTACCATCATTCCTTGTTAGCCATACCTCCAGTTCCTAAAACCTAAGAAATGAGAATGGATGGATCTTCAGTTTGTACACTGTGTTTTGCTATACGCTGTAAAGCACTGGTTCATCATGGAATTGGAGTAACTACAGTAACCCCTAATTTTATACCAGAGTAACAGTGCGGTACGTGACAGTGGAACAGCCATGTAGCTCCTCCCCTTGTTCCAGAAGCTTCCAGATGCTTCTGTTTTCAAAGTTAATAGCTACTGAGATGACTACCTTAAGTATTTTAACATCTTAAAGGTTATAGTAAAACTGTATTTATTTTATTCTTAAAAATCTTCCGTACAACACACTAATTAAAGCATAAAATATTCACACGTTCTGTAATAAACTCAAGCTAGTCTATGGAAGAGACGTGTTTACAATCCCTTTCATGTGTCAATAAATGTATAATCACTGTTCAAAAGCAAAGTTTCCGAACTGAGAGTACTTATAAATGGTCATATTCATTTGAGATCAAGAATTGCTTTTTATTTAACTTCAAACATTTAATCTAGTACTTCTTCCTCATCTTTTTGTTCTACTTTCTAAGTTTAAAACCTGATCCAGCTCCATTGAAACTGAAGGGAGTTTTGCAATTAATGACCTGAAACTCATGCTCATTTCTTTAATAACAGTTCTCATTTTCTTCCTGTTTATGTCCAACCTCTATGTTCTTATACTTCCATTTCTTCATGTGGTTATCACCTACATTTGCCTCTGCCTGCTATTTCCTCTGCATTGTCATTTCTCTCTTTAAAAAAGCTTAACAAAAGTGAAAGTATACAGGGGTTTGAATAATCTTGTGCTGTGAGGATAGAGGAGGACAGTAAACCAACGGTTTTCCATACATTTTTGGATTTTGAGCCCTACAAAAATATATTGGATTTGAGCCCTTTAGAGGCAGTATCCAGCAACAAATTTAAATCTACTGACAACACAGTGGGTTGGGCATTTTGTTATTAATCAACTGACCTGGGCCTCTCAAAAACAGTCTGAACTAGATCTTGAGTTACAGAAGGGACTTCTCTGTAATTCTGTGATGCATCCATCTTATGTTAAGTAATTTTACACTGTTCACCTGTTCAGTGACATCATAAAACACTAAATCACAAGGAACTTTGTATTTCCACACTGATGAGTAAATTCAAAATTTTCTATTATAAATAAACTAACAATGATGTGTTTGTAACAAACAATACAAATCTTTCCTAAAAACCCACACGCACGAAATCTACATTTCAAAGAAATTTCAAGCAATTGTTAATAACTCCTGTTTAGAATAATTCTTTTAAGCAATTTATTTGTTAAAAAAAACCTTAAAAAATATTCTCAACTAAATGCAGAATCTTGATTATCTCAATTCCAGCTCCTAATAACCTCAAGCCACAAAAAAGCCTCAACACAAAGAATGACGTTCATTTCTATGTTCCAGAACAAAAGAAAATAAAAATATTGCTAGCACTTGTATATAGATGAGCCTATGCCTTTAAACAAGATATGGGACAACCTCTGTCAGGTGCTGTACTTGTGTTGTATACTCCATGTTCAACACAGTTACTATACAATTTGAATTACTGGGTTTGGGTAACAGGAGCAGCTGGGGCAGTTTTTAGCTGTTGAAAGTATAAACACTTGGAAAATATTGAGGATTTATCGAAGTAAGTTCAAAATCTTCTCATTAGGATCACTGGTCAAAAACTTTGAACACTAATTCAAATTACCTCTGAAAAGAGTCAGCTAGAAAACATTGCTTTACATTATTTTAATCTATTATTTTAAAGGCAGGTAGCATAAACATTCAGTGGGCAGAGCGCAAAACCCTTATCTATCTCCTGACAAGCTGATATCTTCACCAGCAGACTACAGCTGTTTTCTCTCTCTACCTTTTTTTGTATTCCTTTCTCTCAGATTCAATAGGAGAAATGTAAGATAGCTCCCATCTCAGCCTTTCCAGAAAACTAGTTCAAGAGAAAGTAAGGTCTAGCGTGAAATGACAGCAGCAAACGCATAACTGCTCAGCCTGTTTCATATAATTTGCAAGCCTAAATACCAAACCAGACAACACTAATAACAAAGTTATAGCTTCTTAGACCTCCAAGTAAATCTGTACTCTGTCACAGCATCTTACAGAGAGGGAATGGGTTCTTTCAAACTAACCCTAGAATTCACATCTCCTTCCTGAAAAGGCATTGTAACTACCAGCAAAGTACCTCCCAAACTCTCCATGAAATCATAATAAAGCAACCTACAGAAGTACATTAAACAAAGTTTTCAGCAGAACTAAATTTTAAACAACAGTGATTTGTGGTGGTTCTCAAGATCTATTAGGTTATGCTATCATTCAAAATGATACACAAAGCAGTAGTTTGTACAAAAGCAGTGATTTAGACACCTTAATCTGAAGTAATTTCAGGCTCTGAACTCCAGTATCAAATAAATACCTGAATTGCAGATGCCATTAGATGCCCAGCTCTAAAAGAATAAAGCAGTTTCTGACATGTCTCATCTTAAGTATTCTTTTATCAGCCATCCTGGGAGTCTCCCCTCTCTGCACAATGCTAAAGTAAACTCTACTTTAAGCATTTCATTTCCCCCATGTATTATTCACAGAGGTTACACACCAAAGTCACTTTGTACACGTGGATCCCAAACTTTATTACCACCTGAAAACCAACACGAACCCTTCTGGAATTAAAAATAAAAGCAGCAGCTTGGCCTATTTCAAATACCTGGCCCTAAAGCCACTTGATACACTGATCTTGAGGCAGGTCAGATAAAGGACAAGTTAACTTTTTTCTTATTTAGCATATTCATGACTACAGGTAAGGTCACACAAATTTATCTTCAAGTTTTTAATTTACAGAAAAGATTGAGTAAGCAAGTGATAAACAACAGGAAAAAGTGTTTATAACTATCTCTCTGCTGAAAACCAGCACTATCAAGTGGCAGCGATGAAAGTGTTTTGACGAGATTATTACTGCCAACCGTATGACAAATTAAGTCTCCCAAACTACAAAATGGTAGTAAGACAGAAAATAATGTAGCTAGTATGTTAGATATATTGGAAATGCTTAAATACACACGAACCTAGTAAAATTCAGTCCCGAAAAGACATCTTAACTGTGAGGGGTTGGGTACTCTTTTTCGATGAGGAACTCACTTACCCAGATTTCAAGTCTGTAATCCGTAAACAATTAGTAGCATCCAGTCCTACTTTTCCATTTCTGACCACACTGGAAATGAAGGGTGAGAGCGCTGGAGAAATTCTGTTCAAGGCAACTTCAGGTGACATTTTAGTATGTTCCTCTTTCCTTTTGTCTTGAGCTGCACAGGGATGGTAAGGGAGAAAAAAATAAAATCAAAAAATATCCTACTTACTTGATGTAAATTCACATGCACTCCGCAAACATCAAAAGAAAAAAGCTGAGCACGCAAAGGATCAGGAATGTAGAGTAACTGAAGTGGGCACGGGTTTATAAAGAAAAAATAAACACAGGTAATTTTTTTTTTCTCCTACCTCCACAACATTCAATGAAGCCCATTTATTCAATGTCAACATAATGTTAACATAAAAACAGACTCACATCCTAGCCTCCTTTAAATAGGATCCTATCCCTACAAGAAAGAGAAGTAAAATTGAGGGCCGTTCTGACCCTTCATAGCCTAGCCCTTCCTGTAAGCATTTCCATTAGCAGTCTGTAATTGCCAAGCCACATTTGTTCTGCTTCCACTGAAATCAATGGGACTTACACTGCTGACTGCCATGGGACCAAGGGTTTGATTATCTCTCCATATTCTCATCTGTAGCTTCTAATATCACTAGTGCAACCGTAGTCAGCATTACTTTTACATTATTTCATTATATAGCTATTTCACAGAATCAAATTGGTTGGAAGAGACCTCTGGGATCATCGAGTCCAACCTCATCTACAGCATTTCACTATGCCTTTTAAAGGCTAACACTGCTTTTCTTTGAGCGGTATCACCTTACTCTTTGAAAGGCATCTTCATTCACAAAACAGATTCAGGAAGCTGATGTACACACATTTCAAGCACAGCTTTTTCAGAAGTGCTTGCAACTGCGTGACCTTATGCTAAATCAGGCCATTAAGTTAGCATACTTTAACAACCTGCTGTTTTTTAGCTGAAATGCAGAAAACTGAGCAAGCACACATTTTAACTCATTGCACCACAAAAAGGCTAGAGTATGTGGACAACAGACTGTGGTAGAAGTGAGAGAAAAGAAGGGTAAGTAACCTACTCAAACGCTAACTTAACATATTCAATCACATTCTCAGGCACAGAGTTTCATCTGAAAATTAACTGAACGTGATGGTTTTAGAAAACAAAGCCATAAATGACTCAAAGTAACATAAATATGCCACTGACAAGTGGGGCAGAAGAACTCAAACTTAGAAAGTATTTTAAAAAACATCCATTTAATTGAGAAACACCAATACATACTGTATTTATTTCCTTACAAAATGCTGCATATGGACTGCTATATTAAGTGTTTTATAAAGTGAACAACTCATGGCAATAGTTGCAATTTTCTGTTGTTTCTAACACTCAGTTTACCAAGCATTAGTTGGTAACTAATGGATATTCTACAAACTGGTAATTCTCTGTAACTGGTAGCAACATTAGAGTTACATATTTTGTCCTCATGAAAGTCATTCACACTGAAGTAGTATGAAACAACGTTCAAGAAAGATTATTTATCCTAGCAATTCGGATTGTATCTGAATAAAGCAAAGGCCAGGCACTTTAAGGCAAACAAAAAGACTAATAAAGCAAGGCTTCCTAAACATAGTAATTATTTTTAATACACTGGTACTTACATGTTATGGCAGCAAAGAAGCTGAAGACTAAATGTCCATGTCCTAATATATAATGTGTTCTCTTCACATACATGATTTGCCATAACTGACAGTGGGCAACAACTTAAGTTTGCTTAGCAAACACCTACAGCAATTTAAGATGCTACCTCCTGTTTGTTACTTTTCTACCAAAAATTACTGCCTACTCACTTTTATTCTTCCCCAGAGGAACTGAGAGAACACAAGTCCATACTTGACCTACTTCAATGCAAAGTCCAATAGATTGAACTGCTAATAAAATTTAGTTTAAACTAAAATGATACTTTGGACAAGAGTGGTTAAAACAGGGCACATACTTCAGTCTGCCAGCTCTACCGTAGAGAAGAGTAATTTCAAGCAGAGGGGTAGCTGGATCAATGAATGTAAGAACTTCTTAAACCATGAAAAACATGCTGAAAAACAAGCTATCCTTCTAGCAATCTTAAAGGTACACACAAAGATCTCAGAATTGGTTCTGATGACAACATATTTTAAGAGGACTGTAAGTGTTTATGAGAGTAGAACTGTGAGACATAAGAGAGACACGTGGTGATCAAAGCTGAACAGATGCACCTTCCAAAATGAACTACAGGATGAGATTCCGGATCTTTTTGTTAATAAAATATGCAGATATTGTCAAAACAAGATGTAAATGACTGCTAGGCATTTTTCCTGGGTTTATTGCATCATTTCTTTAAGGTTCACATCTTCTACATCACAAGCCAGATACACAACACTTAAAGGGTTGCTATCAATTAAATTCACCAATTTATTTTTGTTTACAAAGGTCTTTACACACTATAACACAATTAGCACCATTTTCATAAGTTTCAGTTGTCATATACATCTTTTTTCCCCCAGCTTAATTTTCCCACAGCAGTGGACACAGAAAACAAACAAACTCAAGGGAACTAACAAAAACAAAATCCACTAGACCGTTTCCCTCCCAAAACAAAACATTTAAAAGAAGTAAATAAACTAATACTTGACTCCTTTTAGATTCAGCAGCCTATCATTACGACTTCAGGCAAATGTAACACATGCTTCACAATAACCATAAAAGCCCAGGCACTGCTTTGGGCACCAGAGAGCGTCCGGATGTGAGATATTCTATTCCTCCACTACCAGTAATAACGTTATGGGCATTAAGTGAAGCTGTAAGGCGGCAAAGGTGAATATTGTGGTGGAGGCCTTGAAGTGCGAGGGAACCTTTCCTGTCCAACCCTCTCGGCTTAGCTATCGGCAATCTGGTTTGGTGCTTCTCACTTTGAGGGGGGCAATCACAGGTGCCTGGGTGTGGG